GGTGTCAACAAGACAAAATATATAAAATATGAAAGGAAGAATTAAAAGGCTTTTCGGTGACGTCCATCCCTGTTGTTTGGTTTTAAGAAGCCAAACAGTTTCTTCTCTGAAGCAAACCTTTTTATTTTGTTTTGATGTAAATATTTTATGACTTTAAATATCTGTGAACAACAACAAATAGCTGGGTGAAGATCTTTTATGTGACCTTTAGTTTAATAAGTCAATTTTTACCAAGCCAGGTATTATTGACTTGATTTATTTCTGTTTTGCTTTATTTGACACCAGCTATGGTTACATGCACAAAATTTTTCGATCGGATTGAAATGTATTCGGATTAAATAATCCGAATGTACTGTTATGGACACAATCCGATCATGACAAGGGTTTACATGACGCATTTTTATTCCAAACGGCTGTTTAATCTGATTACTTATGTCCATGTAAACGTAGCTAGTGTGCTAACCTGTCTGTTTATTTACTGTGTTTACATTTAAATTCTGTTAGCTTTATTTGAGCTGTGAGATTCAACACAGTAATAAAAGTCTGAATATTTTGATGACTTTTTTTTGTTAAAGATTTGTGAAATATTTTAATTTCAGCTTTAGAGTTGAAGTTATTCTCTAAGAGCTTAGGGGCATGTGTATGTTGAAACTGATTTTATTGGTTTAACTTTAAATTTGTTTTGGAGGGAGCCGGTATCTTCAGCTGTGAGAAATGACCTCTGATGATTTTATTTTTAACACGTTTGTCTTTTTTCTGTTTCTTTAAAACCAATATTTACATTTTATTCTTAATTTGGAGCCTTTTGTTGAAGAAGTTCTGGTCTTTTTTTATTTATTTATTTTTTGATTTTTATGATCATTTTTAAAAAGTTGTTCAGCAGTTTCTTAAAAAATATTTTATTTGTGTTGCATCGTTTAAATCTGAACAAACTTTAACTTTCAACACCTCTGATACAGAAACTAAAGATGGTTTTCTGGTGAACCGTTGTTGGTTTTTTGTTTTCTGCATGACGTTTGCCATCAGTTGTTACGTAGTAGAAAATAAAAACTTAAAAATGTTTATATCTTCATCGGCTGCAGACAAAGCAACAAACATTTTGCTTTAGGAGTGAGATAATCAGTAAAATGTTGAGGCTTGTTTCAGTTTTATCAAAGTGTTTCTGACAGACATTAAATCAACAAATCAGGATTTATTTTCAAGTACACTTCGCTGCAGCATGCAGAACGGGGCGGTGACGGACCTTTCTGTCGGTCCCATACCTTATATGGAAATGGGACTATTGTATTCCGAACATGAAGGGGGCGCTAGCGACACTATTTTCTATCAAACACTTTCAACATTAAAAATACAAATTTAACATTTCCCGTACCAACCGTGTTATAATAATTACAATAATATTAACGCATTTTATTTCACAACGCCTTTCAAAACACCATAGAACACTATCAACATTAAAAATACAAATTTTACAGTAAGGAAATGGCTACAAAACGTGTTATGTCACATGGTATGTCCCTTTTTCATTTTCAAAACTTTATTAAATCTTTGTTGTTTTTGGATATTAAAATTATATTACAGTAACGGTTAGGGTTAGGGTTAGGGTTTTCTTCTTCCTTTGCTCTCTTAATCCCGCGCAACCTTCATTTCCGGAATGCAATAGTCCCATTTCCATATAAGGTATGGGACTGACGGAAAGGTCCGTCCCCGCCCCATTCTGCATGCTGCAGCGAAGTGTACCTCTTTATTTTTGGGAATTTGTGAAAGAAAATCAGGATTATATAATTTTTTATGTGCAGATATTTAGATAAACTGACGTCTTTATACGAGTTATTTGTTTAAAAAGAAAGTAAGATTTTCCCTTGATCTGTTATTTTTTGTTGCTTTAATGCTCTACGAATAACTACAAGTGTATTTATATAAAAAGATGTTTGTGGTGATTTTCTGCTTGATTCAGTAAAGAACTCATTTAATGAATTTATCAGATATTTGTTACATTCTGTGGTTTTCCATCGATTGAAACCTGATCAGAGAATTAATCCTGACACTAACCAATTTCTGCTGGAATAAATGTGAGCCATCATATCGAAATGAGGATTAAGTCAAATTTGGTCAAAATGACCTAATTACATTTTCAGATTAATGGCTTTAAAAGCTAAATTTTAATACCTGGATCATTCTGCTATAAGTAAATCCATAAGTATGACTTAATTTGACTTGTTGGTTACAATAATACATAAATATTTGGTCTGAATCCTAATTTTAAGTCATTTTGATGTCCTTATAAAGAGGAAACCTCAAATTATATTTGAATATTGATATTTCCCAGCTGAAAAGAAACAAAACTTTGCTAGCTCAGAGGGAAAATCTCAAAATTTTAAGGTGTTTTAACTCAAAATCAGGCTTTTTGTTGCTACTGCTCAAAAAAGTGCTTCAAATTTTTGTTTTATGTTTATATTTCAGACAGTTCATTCAAATGATACATTAATAAGGCTTTTATTCATCATATTTTGACAAAATGCAATTTTTGTTAACATTTTAGTCAAAACACTGTCTATTTCTCTTTACCACTTTTGGACTTGATCCTTGTTTCGACGTGATGGGTCACAAATAATCTGTCAGTTTCTACATGAGTAACAGTCAAGAATGAAGTCCAAATGTTTAATAACTAAATTAGCTGTTTGTCACATTTTGTTTGTTTTGCAGCCGTCAAACAGTTGAAGGAGTCTGTGAGTTCTTCAATAAACAAACTGGCTAACTTTGATGGTAAGAGTTGAACTAAAAGAGTTTTCTTCATCTGAGTTTCATTCATGAGAAAACAAMGTGTCTGTCTGTAGAAGTGATGGACGCTCACCTGCAGAACAACCAGACTGAAGAAGACGACATCCTGGCCAGCCCCGACCGACTCAAAGGTAGAAACCGCGGCGTCTCTTTTTTTGATTTCCGCGCAGTGACGTGAGGCGTTCACTTCCTGTTTGTGTCTCTGCAGCCAATCAGATGGACGCCAAAGAGTCGGACATGTCCGACACCCTGAGTCCCAGCAAGGACCGCAGTAGCGACGACACGTCAGGTCAGAAAACAAACTCAGAGTCGGAGTTATTGATTGAATTTGTAGAGCTTGAATCAGGCGTTCTTGTTTCTTCAGACGGCAACATGAACGAGCAGGAGCTGAACGAACCTCAGAACAGAGTAGCTCTGCTGAAAGGTGAGCAGCGCTGCGTTTTTATCTTTTCTTCACTTCAGTTTGCTTTTGTTTATGAAAAGAAAAGCTTTAATTGTGGCGTATCTTCTAGCTGAGTTAAGTCGGGCCGGGTTAGAGCCCGGGGACACGGAGCGGGTCATCAACCATCTCCACAGAGAACTGCTAGAAGCCCAGGAATTAGCCAACACCGGCAAGCAGAAATGTCTTGAGCTACAAGGTAACCCAGACATATTATTAAGCTGTGACAGATTTTATTTATTTTATTTATCTTAAAGTTTTAAAGCTAAAACATCTGTTTTGTAGCTCTGCTGGAGGAGGAGAGGAGGACTAACTCTAAGTTGACCGAGGAGTCGACCAAACAGATCCAGTACCTGCAGAGTCAGTAGAAACACGCCCCCCGTGTGTCAGAGAAGAGACGGTGGGTTTGTGAGAAACTTTCTGACGACTCGTTTCGTTCGCAGCTCAGCTGGAGAAGCTGCAGGCCGACATGGAGGCACTGAGGGAGCAGAGGGAGAGCACCATCTGCAGCACCAGAGAGGAGCTCTACTCCGCCCAGGAGGAGGTACGGCTCCAGCTCCATCTCATAGTCCGGGTCCTCTGCTCGCTGCGTCTGTCTGAACCGTGTCTCTGCCCAGTGTTGTATAAAGTACCACAAAATCATACTTGAGTAAAAGTACAAGTATTTTACTAATAAATTACTTTGGTAAAAGTTAAAGTCTCCTTTAGTAATATTACTTGAATAAAAGTCTTAAAGTATCTGATATTTGTTGTAGTTAAGTATTAAAAGTCAAAGTATTGATTTAAAATGAGCAGTTAGATTTTCTGTAAGGACATTTATTAGGAGGTGACCTCCCMAAAAACTGCAGAAATGACTGTTGTATTAAAAGAATGAATGGATGTTAAATTTARGATGCACTAGTCCAGCTGTTTCAGTTTATATACATATATCAAGGCTGCACAAAGCTTTTCCCCAAAATGAAAATCTATCTGAGGGCTGCGGCCAAATGTAATAATATAATTCATGAAATACAAATACTTCTTAAGTACAGTCCTTTTATTTGAATGATTCTGTCCTGCTGGAGTGTGACATGATTTGTTTGTGTACAAACTAATACACTATCAGAGTTTTATATATTTATACTTCTCATTCAACCACAGTTAAATTCACTCTATAAGAGGCACAGTTTATATGGATAGTTTTATTTTTTATAATAACAAGCTGGAATGAAAACAAGCAAAAATAAAATAAAAGTAACAACTTTCTACTTCTTGCCTTTTTTACTAATGTAAGAAGTAGAAGTAAAAAGTAGGCTGAAAAAGAATTAAAGTACAGATACCCAAACATTTACTTAAGTAAAGTAAAAATGTATTTATTAGTTACTTTACAACTCCGCCTCTGCCTCCAGGTTCTCGTCCTGCGACACGCCATGGAGGCGGCCACGGCGGAGCGGGAGCGGGAGATCGCCGCCCTGCAGGCAGACGTGGGTAAGGTGCGCACTGAGCTGGAACACTGGAGGACCACGGCCGCCAAATACGAGGAGGAGATCAGCCGGCTGCAGGGGGCGTTCTCCCAGCAGCAGCTGCAGCAGCACACTGCCAGCCAGCTGCAAAGTGAGAACAAGCTCTGCCTGAGCAAAGGTCTGTGCAGATTTTTGTTGAATGTGTAAAAACTGAGCGCCTCCTCCTCTCCTCTCAGCGGAGTGCGTTACGTTGCACCAGCGGTGCTCGTCTCTGCAGCAGGAGTGTGACGGCCTGAGAGCAGAACGGACAACTCTCACAGATAAACTGCACCTCCTGGAGGCGGAGCTCAGCAGGTGCACACACAAACCATCTCCTCTCTGCGTCTGCCGGTGACTGCACGTTGTCCCTGAGCTGAACACGGTTCTGTTTCTGTGTCTGCTCAGCACCAGGCAGAAGAGTCAGGTCCTCAGCAGCAGCCTGGAGTCTCTGGAGAAGAGGGAGGAGGTCTTGCAGGACAAACTGGGGTCTCTGGAGAACCAGCACCTGCAGGATGCGAGCAGACTAAAGAGCCAGCTGGACCAGGCCCAGGCCCGGACTCACACGCTGCAGAAAGAGGTGCTCACTCAGACCTGCTTCTCTTTAACTCGTCCCGTCAGATTATTAAAGCCACCTGTGGGCGGCGCCTGTTTGCAGGCTTTTAGGTAGGATTTCTGGAGAGGCTGAGTTTCACTGTTTTTTTTTAATTTTATATTTTAACAATTATTGCCTGTACCTTTATAATGAAGCTACAGTCTGCCTTTACAAACAACAAGGATTATACAATATTGTTAAAATGTTTAAAAATACAGCTATAAATAGTGAAAATATGACCCACCTTCGCTGTAAAGGATGACGTGCACATCCCCCCGTCCTCGTCATGTTTACGTTGGTGAAAACTGATTTCCTTTGGTTTCTGAAGCTTGTTTCTTATGTTTCTGATAAAAATCACTTTTCCTCCCGCTCTTTTCGTGTGCTGTGTTTCCTACCTCGATCTTACATGAGTCTCAGCTGCAGTCTGGTCGATTCGGGTCTGGATCGCTTCATCTAAGAGCTTGCAGAAGCATGTGCAGGAAATGCGAGATCACGCAGTAAATCCAGTGATAAATGTGGAAGTCAGGACAAACTAATTCATTCTGTGGTAGACGGAGTTGAAACTGCATCGACGTGTTTGTGAAACTTTTGATTTCAAAATGAAATCGACACGTTTTATGTGCGTATTCATATGTTTCCATCAGCTTTCCAAACAGAACGATACATTTTGACAGCATTTATGTATAAATATTTACATGTATTTATTAATATGCCAAGGGTTTCGACAAAACTGGTGGGGTTTTGGTTAATTACTGTGAAAATACAGAAGTTATGCTCGTTCCTTGTCCTGTTGGTGAGACGTGATCTGTGTAGCTTGACTACAGAGAAGCTCCAGCRTCGGGCAAAGACAATGGACTTGTGCAGCCTCATGTATTTACTGTATATAGGAGCGTCCACAAGGAGTCGTAAAGCAAACTAGGGCGTCGTGACGCAGCCACAGGGCGTCACAAATCAGGTCAGGTGTCATAAAGCTCTGATGCCCCTCTACCTAAATGCCTGCCTGTTTGTCCCCTCGCAGTATGAAGACACTCAGCTGCAGCTCCTGGACCTCCATCAGCGCTACGAGAGGACGGAGCAGGAGAAGCTGAACATCCACCAGGAGCTGGAGCAGTGCCGGAGCAGCCTGAAGCTGCTGCAGGACAAAACCAGCTCTGTGAGTTCACAACAGAAACAAAACCAGACCTTTGAGTTTAAACCAGACTTTAAACCAGGCTTCATGCAGGGGAAGTTCTGGACCTGGTTAGAACCTCCAGTTCAGTCGTGTTTTTTCACTGCTTATCAGAAACAAACGTCTGATCACAAGTAGAGTTTGATTTTTATTCAACAAATACCAATAAATAACCAGTAATTATTGATGTTAGTTGTAAAAAGCATCACCAAAGGTTTTAACGTAGATTTTAATGTAATAATCATAGTTTTTGAAACATTTCTGATTGATCTGATCAGTCAGCTTTGCTTGTATGAATTAATAATCAACGAGGCGGAGCAGCTTCCTCTTCTTCCTCCTTTCTGTTCACTTTCCCCCCTCATCTTCAGCTTTTTGTTCATGTGGTTATATATATTTTTATTTTTTATTTAAAGTGATTTTGTTGCTGCATTTGTTTTTAATCATAATTAAACATATTGACAGGTGGAGAGAATCTCAGTTTCAGATTATATTTAGTTAAAGCAGGACATAAAATAACAAATGAACATGTTGTAACGATGGTAGACCTTCACCATGATAATCATCACGCCTCAGTTAGTTTGATGCAGAAGAATTTATTTTACACAGAAATAAAATAAAGATTTAACATTTTAAGATAGTTTTTACTGTTAAACCAGGAGAACAACTTTCCTTCTTCGCTCTTCCTCCTCCTCCCTTGCTGCAGCTGCTCCATCCTCCATGTTTGTTTTTTGGTTGATTTGCTGGCTGATTTATTTTTTTCTTATCCCCCCTCCCTCCCCCCCTCCTCTATAGCCATCCATATTGCAGCCTGTCCAAGCCATATTCATGGGCCTTGTCCTGGCTCTGCTGTACTGGTGTTTCGGCCAGTTGTGGTAGAAAGGTACACACCGACATGACATCCGCCTGTCTGCTGCCTCCACCTGTCTGTCGTCTCTTAAAGGAACCGAGGCGGGGGTGAAGTGCAGGTCCCAACGTGACAAATTCAGGGTTCAACAGGTCCAAACAGCTTCAACATTCCTGTTGGTTTAACCTGACGACAGGGTATCTTTTCATCCAGAACAGGAAGTGGTGATTGATCTGAAAAATGTTTTTATAAGGCTCAGAAATTCTCACAGGTTTTTTAAAATTGATCAAATTTGTGAAAAATAAGATGCCAAACTAATTTGTTCATACTTTCATTTTGAAAAGTCTCACCTATATAAGGTATAAATCAGAAACAGTTAAACATCTGGATCCGCAGCTGAGCAGCTGTAAACGAAGCTTTAGATTTTAATCCACATAAATAAAAATGATTTTAAATCTTTAGTTCACATGACGTTCCAACCCTGAGTTTTAAACAGCAGGACGTTTTCTTCACCTCCCGACCTGAACTTCCTTTTAAAGAGTGAGCCTCATCTTCATCATCAGTGTGTCTGGTCCGAACGCTTCTGTCTGTTTGCTCATCAGTCACTCGTCTGTCGCAGCCCACACTAACCTGCATTTTTTTAAATAAAGGGACGGACTTCCACCAAGAACAACACTGTTATTTGTGTTGAAATAAAAGCTCCACTTCACAGTAAAAAACATTTTTTTATCCCCTTAATTAGTTCTGTTACAATGACTGTATTTAAATTTAAATGTATAAAAAAATATATAAATATAATGAGGTATTTAAATAAATAAAAATTTAGACTTTTGTTTTACTATGACAAAGCTGTAACATTTTGAATTAATGCCATTATTTTATAAAATAACTTTTTTTTAAGTCTGGGGTGGGAGTTTTGAGTTGTCTCAGAAAGCTGCAAATATAAAACTAATTATTAATTTCACTTCCCTAAACATTAATTGATTGATATATTTTCATACACAATAAAATATGCAGAATAATTTGTTAAAAAAACCTTTATTCTCTATTAGCTACTGAACAAAAGTTAGCACAAATGCTAACTTAACATTAGAAACCTCATAGAGAAGCTAATGCGATTAGCATAGTGACATTTATGCATAAATCAGCGATTGGACTCGTGTTCTGATAACTTCAGCTGTTCTTTACAGACAGATCAATGTGAACAAAATTATTAAAACTCTTTCTTATCCCCTGTGATGTGAAAATAAAAGATTTTATCCCCCACCAGTGACTTATCTTGGGTAATAAATTTCAAATTTAAATGATCACATCTTAAATGTTCTGCTTCAAACATTCATCTGTTCTTCTTTTGGGGTTTGGTGCTTTTTTTATTTTCTGCATGTTTCTGTCTYCATCTGATGCTGCAGGTTCATGTTTTTATTTGTTGTGTGCCGTTTGCTCCTAACTCTGTTGTTGTTTTAGTTTTTCTGCTCACAGGTTTGGTGTTTTTATTTAAACCGTTCTGTTAAAGCAATCATTTCAGATTTTTWAAAAAGAAAAAGTTTAGGAACGAAGAATTGTCTTGGGTGATGTAGATCGCTCTTTGAACAATCTCACTTTGGAGGAAAATTTTAATTCAGAGCTGACAGATGAGCTAATGGCTAGTCAGAGTGGATTTCTCCTGACTGAAAACAACTCCAGTATCAAAAAAAAAAAAAAAAAAATCACGGTTGTTCAACCTTTTTACTGTTGTCAGTAGAAAAATCCAGATATTCTTGCAAGAACTGCTCCCAGGCCACACAGGAAGTACTACAACTAGCTGCCACCGCCATGACATATTTGAGATGTTTTAAAGCGGCTGGATTCCACTTTTGTCTCGACTTGCTGTAATTTTATTAAAACCAATCAAATTAATTTTTTATAAGAGCTATCTGCAACAGGTAAGATAGTTACTCATAAGTGTTTGTTACTTGTTTCTGGAGCCACAGATTTTAATTCTCCATCTTGTTTGCTTTTTGTTTATTTGTAAATATTTTTCAGTTTTTGTTATAGTTTTTTTTATTTTAATATGTTGTTTTTTCCTTTTCGTTTATTAATGTTTTGTTTTCTGCAGTCCCCAAAAAAGATTTTTTTTTAAAGTTTTTCACATTTTCATATTTAAGTTGAAACACACGTGCTTCTCCTTCCCTCAGCGTTTTAAATGAGTTAATCTTATAAACGCTGGTCTGCTGCAGCACATCTGTGTGTGCTGGAACAGATGAAAACTGTTGGACACACAGTTGAATCGTTTCATTCCGGATGATAGATGAGCAGAACCGGACGATGCAGAAACTTTAGCTGCGATCGGACAGAAGACAGAACCTCTCCTGAAAGGATAAAATAATATTGAAGCTGTCAGCTTTCATCACAGAGGAGGATCTGGTGAATTCCTGCAGGAATATCCTGATTCCTGGAGGTTATTGAGCAACAGTTTTATAATAAATGTCTGATCGTCAGACATGGAGCGGTCGTAGCTGAGAGTTATCAACACATTTTAGAGGAATGTTTTATTAAAATGATCCGTGTGTTTCGACTAATCTGAGAACCAAAGAAGAAGAAAAAAAAATCATGTTTTTGACTGAACAGGCCTTTTTACTCCAATACTTCCTGTGGATGTTTTTCATTACTCACCCTTTCATCCTCTCACCCTGTCCMAGTTCTCATGTAGGAAACAAAGAGGAAGCACTTTCTTGTAGTTTAATGAAAAACATCCTCTCTCTGGTTTGAGTCTCAGTCCTCYTTAAGCTCTGCTGCACAGATGATGAAGTCGTTTATTTTTATTTTTGTGTTTGTCTTGCGGGACAGAGCGGCTGGAGCCCCTGGATGCCGGTCATCGCAGTGATGGTCGCCGTGACGGCCGCCATCCTCTACCCCAACCTCTCCAAGAGCAGCTCCGCCTGAAAGCCCGAGCCGCGAGGACAGCGCCACCGCTTTACTTGTATAAAGTCTAATTGTACATAATTGTAGAGGGATTATAAAAAGGTTGTGGTTTCTACAGAGGACTCGGATACTTCCTGGTTTATTTTGTTTTCTAAGAGGAGTTTCGTTGTCATTTTTACTCTCGGGGCTCTCTGAGACGTGGTGGGGGCGGTTTTAGGTTTTTGTGTTTGGGTAAAAAAAAAAAACGATAAAGCAGACAAAAACACTCAAATCTGATTCTTTCCAGCAAACTTAGCGCCGTCAGGGAAGCATGACTCAGCGTTTATTTTAAAATGTTTAACCTGAGGCGTAAGAGCATGTTGGTCTTAATGTTTCAAATCCACATTAAGGAACTCATGCAGGATATCAAATAAAACTAAAAGAAATAAAATAACCTGACTTATGAGAAACATTCAAATTGTTTTTTTTTCCAGTAAATATATTTAAATGTAAAAGTTTGTAGCTGCGTGTAAACCTTGAACGTCTGCTCGTCTGCTGGAAAGTTTTCAGGAAGTTCTGCTTCTCAGTTCTGTTTCAGCCGTACGGTTTCTTTTTTTTTTTTTTTTTCGAGGGAGTTCGGGGGTTAAAACTTGAAGCCAAATTATTTTAAAGAAATAGGTTTTTTTTTCTTCTTTACTCTTCAGATTTTTTGGGGCACAGAAAAACCGGGGGGATGTAAGTGCCTCTGATGTAACTAACAAACACCACAATTTGTGTGTGAAAAAACACTTAATCAAACACACACACACACACACATACGGAGGCCTGTTGATGTTCAAAGCATCTGTTGAGTTTTTCATTAACTTCATTAATTACAATATTCTGCTCATTTAATAACTAAAACTTTTAATACGACAATTTTCAACTTCTAAGAGCAGGACGATTATTAAATCCTTTCTGAGAAGATTTCTTGTAATGAAAGTGTTTCAGCCCTCAACAGTTAAATTGGTTGATAAAATTAGTTATTTTTGGGTTTAAATGTTTAAAAGTTTCATCAGATTAAGAAAACAGTTGTTACTCATCTGAGGCAAATTTAAATATGTAAATGATTAATCCAAATTTAGTCCTTTAAATATGAATTTCTGAGTCTGGAACAAAAAAAAATTAGATTTACAGGAAATGCAAGTTAGAAAATGTTATTAAATTACATAAAAATTAATTTGAAGTGTTTCCTCCACTCACTTTAAGTCTTCCATCTGTGTGTTTTAGAACTGTTTATTCCTCCTAAAAGTTGCCTTTTGTGTCTTAAATCTCCATCTTTTAGTGAGTAAAATAAAAGATGATAATTTTGGACGAGTTTTGTTTCGCTCCAACACTTCGGGCCTCCRTTGGAAGTTTTAAAAAATCTTTCCAAGCTGTGTGTTTCGGTGTCAGTTCACACTTTTGGACTCTTCGTCATCGTCTGTGTACTCTTGTCTCGTCTCCGTGTTGAAAAATAAAATAAGTGACAGCGAACAAATATTCCTGATGTTTAAAGAGAGAGAAAAAAACACTAAAGTACAGATAGAATTGTAAAATAAAATGTATTTGAATGATGTGCAGCTAGACTTATTTTGTTAAAATTGTTTAGAGATAAGAGGGGGTGTAGAGAACCTGATGTACTGAATATGCAGAGAAACGTTTGGATTAAAGTTGTAGCAAGCTGACCCACCACCCCGGCCTCCAGACTCTTTTATCACAAGCTTCAACACAAGTCAGGATAAAGTGCTCGATGAAGCAACGAGGGATGATTTCATGTTTTTGCCTGGACCTGTTTGGGTGTGGCCGTCCCCTCATATTGACTAAAAGTCACGATAAAATCCCATCAATCATCCCGCAGCAGSATGAGCTCATCTTTACGAGACGGTCGAAACAAGTCAGAAGGTTTAAAAAACACAGGTTTGACTCCACAACATGAAAAACAGGTGAATTTAACCTCAACAATGATGCAGACTGCTGCTTTTTTAACTTAAACTTGACAACTTTTACATGAAATCACAAAACTTTTAATCATGATCCATAAATTTCACAAACATTTTGCCTTTTTATCATTCTTCTTACATGAAACCTTAAAACAAATTATTTCTAGAAAAACTCTTGCATTTTGAGCCATTTCAACAAAAATACTTTAATACATATATTTTAATTTTGTCCTGAGCAGTTTTATTTTTTTTTTTTTTTACTATTTTTGAATAAATATTTACAAAATGGTTATTAAACTTAAGCTTATATAAGGTGGTTTAGGCAAATATCTGAGGCAGATACAAGTTATTTGTCACGTTTCTTTAGTTATTTGGTGCAAAGAGTTAAAGTGCTTTAAATCTTATAAAGGCAGAAAGTATTTTTTGTATTTTCAAATGTTTTAAAGTTTGATCTATAAAAACATGAGTTAAATAAAATTTAAAAAATACAATAAACTTGTAATTTGACCCATTTCATTGATGAGTTTGAGAAAAACTTTTTTTATTATTATTTTTTTTATCCGTTTCAGTTTGGAAGATTATTGAGTTTCTGTTGTTAGGAATGAGCAGCATGTTAATTATTATCTAAYTGTAAAAAGGAAAAGGCAACTGAAAGTCCAAAAAAGACCAAAAAATGTCGGTGGAGGGCGGTAAAACTTTGCTGACGTTCGCTCGGAGCAAATCGAAGAAGAGAGGTTGAAAAGTCCGAGCAGTCCTTGAACGCACCAGCAGCGCTTTTGGTCGCGTGAGTTTGAGGGAAAAGTTCAATCCAAGTTGCGGCCAGCTCCGAGGAAACACTGTGGGGAGACGAAGCACCGTCAGCGGCACAACTTTCCGACCCGTTCCAGCCTCAGTCGGAACACGAAGCGGTACCGAAACCCCCACCGGGAGGAGCAGAACAAGATGCCGGTCACAGAGAAGGACCTGGCGGAGGACGCTCCGTGGAAGAAGATCCAGCAGAACACCTTCACGCGCTGGATAAACGAGCACCTGAAGTGCGTCAACAAGCGGATCGTGGACCTGCAGCTGGACCTGGGCGACGGCCTGCGCCTCATCGCCCTGCTGGAGGTCCTGAGCCAGAAGAAGATGTACAGAAAATACAACAGCAGGCCCAACTTCAGGCAGATGAAGCTGGAGAACGTGTCGGTGGCTCTGGAGTTCCTGGAACGGGAGAACATTAAGCTGGTTTCCATAGGTGAGTGAGCGGGGGTCCGAACACAACATCCCGAATTAAAACCGAGTTTTTAAGRCTAAAACTCACCGGGGTGGTTATTGAGTCGAAGCCGAATTTAAAAACAAGTTTAATTTGGTTTAAAAAATAGAAATTTTTACAGCATTTACCTCCGAACGGATCAAAATTACGAAATGCGTTTAAACAACTCATATTTTAAACGGAGTTTGGGGGGGCAATTATATGGTGTTTACTCTTGTTTTCTGAGTTTTTAAGAGGTTTATTTCACAAAAACAACCAGATAATGAAAGCTGCTCACATGTTTCATAACATAATGGTGTGSAAAAGTTTTAAGCCATCACTAAGTCCTTTAAAGTTTGCTTCCAAACAGCTAATCTGTTGAAGTGACCTTACAAAGTATGAAATCAAACATAAGAAGGTCATTCTGAACTCTATCAAATGGTGCAGTTTGAAAGAGTTTACTCCAGTAGTTTTCCAGATATTGAAGTCAAATCTGAAATGTGGGTAAGCACTCAACGTAAACAAACCTCTTTTTTCTGTAAGAGTAAATATGTACAAATACATCAGATTTGTCCTTTTTCAAGAAATCTTTATAGTTTATCTTGTTCAATTAAATCATTTTGTGTGCACTGAACAGTCAGGTAAGAGGTTTTGTGTTTCGGACTAAAGATTAAGCCAATTAAAGACCCAAATATTAACAGTTTTTTAATCTTTTATGTCAGCCTTAAAGTGTCTGATTTGTAACCAGAGTTTGGCTCATTGTGGGTAAGACTCGTAATGATAGAGGACACACCTGTAAATTAAACCAAACGAGACCCAAATGGTGCTAAAATAAAGCCTAWGTCTGCTTTTACAGTTGTTGTAAATCATATTTTTAGTTTTCGGAGCTGCTTTTTGCTTCGTCCCACTTTGGTTAAATGTTGCAAAAAGTCAGCTCAAACGAACAGCTGAAGGTTTGTTCAGACCAGAAACAAAAAGTTATTTTTGTTTGTGATTGAAGCTGGCTGATGAGGGCGTTAAAGTGTGGATTTTTAATGGTGACTAAGAGAATCTGTTTGCAGATTTTCTGTCCAGTTTTTGCAGTTTCAGCAGCGCACGTCGATACACACCTGTCAGGAGGGACGGATCCACGATGGAGTCTGTCAGATGAGACGTGCTGCGGTCGAAGTTTGGTTTTCTCTGCCGTTGAAGACGTATTAATCTAAAAACTACAAAACAGCAGATTAGACTTCTTTAATCTGCATCTAAAAGGCAGCAGATTAACTGGAGAGAAACTGTGGCTCCCAGACTCTGGGTTCTGCCACAGATTCTGGGTTCTGCTACAGACTCTGGGTTCTGCTACACTTCTGCCTCGTCAGAGTTTTTCCAGAAATGTGTTTTTCTTCTGGACATGCCTGAGGATCCTCGGTCTCTCTGAGGATCCTCGGTCTCTCTGAGGATTTATTCCGGCTCGTCCTGCAGGAATAAGAACAAACGTGACACTTTGAGCTCTTTTCTTTTTGTTCTGTTTATTTATTTCCTTTTAAAAATAGCTGAAGGATGAAAGTAGGGACGGTTCAGCAGACCCCTGAACGCAGCAGATTCRTTCATTTTTATTCTAAAACGGTTTCTTGAAGTGAAAGCGACCCGGTTCTGTTTATATAAAACGTGTTCAGTCTGGTCTGAAGTGGTTTTGGAGCCACATTCATAGACACAAACGATGTCAGTGAACGCATCGTCGCTGTGTTTGAGCAGCTCCACCTTCAGTCAACAAACTGATTCACGCTTTTATTTTGGAGTGAACCCTGAAACCTCTGAGTGAGCTCATCATCTCTGCACACCTGTGGATCCTCCCAGGTGTGTCTGTGAGCTTCCTGCAGCTTTTTAATCAAGTCTCTGCTTTTTTACTTGGTTTTATTTAACCTCAGTCACTTCTCAGATGTTCATTCTTCCCTTTTACATCTGCTTTGGCATCCTTTAAGCCACTATTATGCAGCCTTTAGCTACTGTTACTCTATTTTTAGCTAGCTTTTTGCTGATTCTAGCTAGCCCTTTTGCTGCTTTTATCAAGCCTTTTGCTGCTTTTATCAAGCCTTTTGCTGCTTTTAGCTTTTATCAAGCCTTTTGCTGCTTTTATCGAGTCTTTTGCTGCTTTTGACTAGCCTTTTGACTAGCCTTTTGACTAGCCTTTTTGCTGCTGTTGACTAGCCTTTTGCTGCTTTTAGCTTTTGTTTAGCCTTTTGCTGCTTTTGACTAGCCTTTTGACTAGCCTTTTGCTGCTTTTGACTAGCCTTTTGCTGCTTTTGACTAGCCTTTTGACTAGCCTTTTGCTGCTTTTGTCTAGCCATTTGACTAGCCTTTTGCTGCTTTTGACTAGCCTTTTGCTGCTTTTGACTAGCCTTTTGCTGCTTTTGACTAGCCTTTTGGCTAGCCTTTTGACTAGCCTTTTGCCGCTTTTGACTAGCCTTTTGCCGCTTTTGTCTAGCCATTTGACTAGCCTTTTGCTGCTTTTGACTAGCCTTTTGCTGCTTT